CAGTGTTGACAGCAAACCCGGAGCCTTTTCGAAAACGATGACACATTTTAGTCATGTGATGCAGTCATGTGACCAATTAAACTAAGATAGCGGAGGGCATTACACAGCAGTTGTTTTGTTTGCTCTCAATTGTGACAGCCGCATTAAAGATTAATATCAGTTTGTACATGCTCCACATAGCTTTTCTTCAAATTCTTTATTCACACTCGCTTTTGCAACTTTGCACCTTTGTGTTACTCGCAGCAACAACTCCACCTCATTGTTAGTCCATTTAAAAACTCGGTGCTTTTCCTTAACATTTTGCGACGTTTCAAAGAGCCGGAAAGTAAATAAACGGCAGACAGAAATAGGGCAGTACTTGCACAGTACTCTAACGTAAGCGTTTTTGGCCGTTTCAATATGGATGAACAACTCTGTGAAAACAAATTAAAACAATAGTGTGGACGCGGAGTGTTTTCAGACGTATACAACATTTTCAAATTTATCTGGGCTAGTGTAGACAGGCCTAAAACTGTAATAGATTTAGGCTGTGTTGATTGCTTTTATTTCCCTGACTGCTCAGTCTGTCAGTTTTGTCACTTTAACAATTTGGTGTATTTTAAAATAATGCAAATGGTGTTCTTATGGGGGTTAGAGGATGGGGGGGGGAGAGTAAACTGGAGATCTTGTACAAAGGTTTTTCCAGATCAGGGCAGCGAATATCATTTGAGAAGTTTCATTTGTATTTAATTGGCTGATTTAAAAATAAATAGATAGATAAATAAATACAATTTTTAGAGGGTATTTAGCAGTAATGAGAAGAAGGTATGGCAGGAATATATAAGCACTGTTTCTGCCTGAACTCATTCAGTAGCTACCAGGTATAGAGTTTGTGGATTTTATATCATCTAGTATGTGTTTACACCTCTAATATCAGATGACTAAATATAAAAAAAATTAAATAAAACCACCTAAAATTATAGTTGTATTTTTTGTGCTTTGGTTTTGCTTTTTTATTATTTCTCAAGTATATTTGTGAATATTAAAAAACAAAAATCTTTCACTGGGCTGTTTTTAACTCGAATACTTAAACTTGTGAATTATTTGTGACTAAATGAAACATACAGAGGGGACTTTTTTTAAATCCACAAACTACAGCATGAACCCTGAGTTTAAAATAATTATAATCTGTCTTATGGACAAAAACTGATGTAAACTGTCTTAGTTATGGGTGGCAGATAGCACAATTACCTCCAAGGAACAGGTAGGTCCTGCGTTTGGCGTAGAGGGCGCTGAGAGTGAAGCAGATGAAAATCACAGAGGTTCCCATGAAGGCAGTCACAATGATACTGAGGAGAAGAATACCAGGACAAATAAATAATATGTTCTTTATTGACTCTTTGGTTTGCTTAGAGCTGCATAGAGGTTCAGATTGATGTGACTAACTTTCACTCACTGGGCTGTTTAATCTGTCACTTACCTCGGATTGACAGAGATGACAAAGTCCAGTGTGGGTCCAAGGCCAACACCTGGTGAGTAAACACTGTGTTAGGCTTTTGCATGATTACAGACCGTTCACCTCTGATCACACAAACAGTAACACATTGTGAACTTACCTGTGAGGAAGGCAAATCCAGCGAGGATAGCCAGTCTCTTCTTCTCTGTCTCAGGGTTATGGGGGGTCATGGCAAGCCAGAACATCAACCCCAGGGATCCAAGCACAGACAGCACACCACCCTAAAAAACAGGGGTACAGGGTAAACACAGGTACCAGTACTGTGGCCAAGACAATACTCACATTATTTTAAAAAAGCTACAAGGTGTTAATAAACTACTTATATAAAAATTCAGATTCAAATTACAGACATGTACTTTGACCCATTGTACGAGCATTATCTGAAATGCACCTGCAGAGTTGTGATAGCAATAAATGCTTCTGTTATGGCCATTTGCTCTATGGTGTCTCTTCATGTGTACATGATTTTCTTTCATGGTTATTGCCAGTGGTTTTAAATGTCTGTGCTCCTTCCAATTTGTCACCTACGTCTTTACGTCCAAGTCTTGCTACCAAATAACTACAGGGACATTTACCTCTTTAAATTGGATTTGACTTGTGATTCCCAGTAATAACTGAAATTAGAATTGGCTGTCCCAACTTAAATAGTGGCTTAAAAGCCCTGTCCAGACTTAATCTAAGATGGCTGATAAATGGTGAGACTCCCCACCCCCCCATTTTCTTCTAAAAGCTGTTGTTGTTATCACATCAAACATGGGATAGAGGTGACTAAGCTTCAAAGTATGTGCTGAATGGCTTAGTGGTGATAATGCTCACTGTAAATGACCATCGATGACCTTCTATACTTCACAAAGAAGGAAAAAAAAAACCCCACAACAACAAAAAACACAAAAAAACAAATACAACCAAGGTTCTCACAGTATTTAAACTGGGGAGAAAAAGATCTGTTAGACAGTAAATACCACCTGTTGTTTACACCATCATCTACAGCAGCACATGATGGTGTAAACAACCATAATCTGCTACCGTGAGAATAAGGTCAGGATCAAGGTTATTATAGTTAAATCAAGCTTTAAGAAGTATTTTAGGTAACTGAACGGGAATAAAAACCTGATAAAAAACAAACAAGCAAAGACTATTATGTTCTTACTGACTTAATAAAACATAAATATAAAGGAAATTTCTTTAGTCTTAGTACTTGTCACTTTGAGAAGCCTTGTCTACCTATTGAGACTTTGAAAATGTGATCTGTTTGCCCAGTTTTATTCATTCTGAAGCTATAAAATCTTCCCCTTGACAAACACAATCGAAAGTAAAACTTTTCAAACATTAAAAGCAAAACCAAAACTGTCAAACTTACTCTGGAAACTACCTGAATTTCAAATGTAATGGAAAAAAACAAAAAACAAACCAAATCAAAACAAAGAAAGAGCAGAACAAAAATCTTATTAGTAGAAAACTACATCTCAAACAAGCCACCTCAGCAGCAGACTTGCTGAAGAAAAGTTGTCAGTATTTGGTGTTATTCTGTCCAGTGAAAACACTACACAACACAAGTGAGTACATCTCTGTGCAATAATCAGTTAAATGACAGACTGGTTGAAACTGCATCAAAACTTGTGAAGTTACTTGTAAAGTTAAATGAATAATCAAAAACAAAGATGTCATGCTTAACATGTCTGGTATGTTAGTTGTACATATTGTACATATTATAGTTGTGTACTGTGACTTGGAGGGCGTAAAAATATGTGGAACAACCAGTAATGTGGGCTATTCTTGGTCATGCTGTGGACAGAAGACATAATAGCGAAAGAACTTTTTCGCAAAGTGAAACCAAGTGTTTAAACAATGAAAACTGTCCACTGCAGCCACTGTTTGTCTTTTTAAATTGGCCCACTTATTTACATTATGTCTGATGTTTTTCCCCCCCAAATGTCCTCTTTGTGTTGAACTGTGCTTCCTCTTTCCTGCTCAAACCACCCAATCAGCTGGCTTTTTGGGCTCCATAGTATCTGAGCAGGCTGGATTTCCATAACTTTCCCTCAGGTCTGCCAAAAACAATGCAAACGCAGGCCTTTTGGTCACATTTACTTTCCTTGTGGAAATTTGTTTTGCAACACGAATTCACAAAATAAGGGAATGGAAATGGGGATCACTGCAATCCTGTGCTCTTAATAGCAGTGGCTTCAATTCCTCACCTCACCTGGGACCCGGCTACTTTGCATTGTCAGTGGTTATTTTGCCTGTGGCTGCTTGAAGCTGCTTCCTGTGTGAGCGTGGATGGTTGAGACATTCCTATTGGGTATGAGACCTTCTGAAGACGTGCCTGTTATAAATGACAAACTTGGCCTGAGTCGTACCTGAGATCTTACTCATTTTCATGAGACTGCCACGTCTATTTTTCTTTTTTACTGACTGATGATTGTTTTGACAGATTTAGGTTTGTGAACCAAGCAGTGATGCAAAAACTAAAATACAGATTTATATACTTCCAAATACTTCTTTTATAGTTCTATAAAAAGAGTTACTAACTCAGTTGAGGGAACTGAATTTCCTCTCTGATGGACTATTGAAACATCTTCACTGCATTTAAACCAGTTAGATTCCAGAACATAAATATTTGTAGCTTTCTGTTACGCCCACATCAGTACCTATCATGAGCCGCTTGTTTTTAATGAAGGAAAGACTCATCACGCAAAGTCATCCAACACCACTCCATTATCCAGGGTAAAGGGAGAGACACACTACACTGGAAATACAGGCTTCAAAATAGGCTACACCTGTGATTACTTCACACAAGTTAGAAAATTGTTGATTATTGAAACACAACTGACTGAAAATCATGGGCTTAATCAGCCTTAATGAATAAATATGATTATGAAATAGGTTGTTCCAGAACTTTCTAGGTTTGGACACATGGGCTGTCTGCATCACAGCTCCACATGTGAAAGAACTTTGAGGAATTGAAACTTGATTGCAAGCGCTTCATAAAAGAGGAAAAGGGGACACATGAAGTTCTGTTAACAACTAGAAATCAGTCAGAACATAGCTGAAGCAGTAATCACAAGGTACAGAATAGGCCACTAATCGAGCTCTGATGTCTTTCCTACTACCACAATGTCACTGACCGAGTGCTTGCACAATCTGACCCTTGTGCTTCAGGCTTGGCAGGAGGATTATCAGAGGGAAAAAAAACTTTCTATGACAGAGCATGAAAATGACTGCATAATGTTATTCTCTTCAGATCAGCGGTCCCCAACCCATCTTTTTGTACCGATACTGGTTTTATTTTGCTGTATTTATCCACAACACCTTAAAGGCCGGTCCGTGAAAATGTTGTCGGACATAAACTGGTCCATGGCGCAAAAAAGGTTTGTGACCGCTGCTTTAGATTACATCCAAGAATTTAAAAAATGCAATGAATATAAAAAGAAGCCTGAGGAGTATTGGAAAAGTCTGGATTTATGGATGGTTACAGGTATGCCTGTTAGGAATACCAAAAATACTGGGTGACAACTTGCCTGCCTGGCTGCAGACAACTAAAAGAGGAAGTAGACTGTAGCAGAATGGACGCATGTTACCTCACTCAAATCCAGTAGCAAACACCTTTGGGGTGTTTTAAAGAGAAATAGAGAACAAAAAAACAACAAAAAAGACAGCTTAAAATGTGCCCGAAGAACAGCAGAACATCCCCAGAGAAATTTGTGCAACAAATTGTGAGCTTGTCATCAATAATAATAATAATAATAAACACATGAAATGAATAAATATTAGTAATGAAAGTTTAGCTGGTCTTTGTTGGACTGACTTCCCACCTTAGCTGTGTGACTGTGTTTGATTTAGGGTCACTGTGGAGATCAGCATCCATATAATGAAGTGCTGCAAACCTTTATAAGGCAACATTTATAAAAAAAAATATTTAGAAAATAAAAGTGCTGTCAGTACTGTAAACTAGGACTACTTTTTCCCCCTTTGTTTTACATAAAGAGTACCCTTCTATTTAGCTGTAACCAAATATATTTTTTATTAATCTGACATGTAACAGATATTGCATAGTGATATACTGAATATCTGAGATTGATAGTTTCAGATCCTAGATAGGTAAAATTTATGTTAATTATATTAGCATAGGAGGATAAAACATACTTTCCTGTAGGAGACCATCTACAGGTACATGTACAGCTAGGCCAAGCTGCATCTCGTTATGCTTACCTGAAAGAGGCGTGTGACGACATGGACATAGGAGCCGGCAGCGGCCACAAACATACAAACTGCCAAGCTTGAGTACACATTCTTCAAGTGCACCTGGGTGGAATGAGATCTGCAGGAAGAGGGATAATACATGAACGAGGCATGAGTGATGAAAAGGCAAGTTAAAAAGCAGACCATGACGACCGTTTCATTACCACATAAATTTGTTTACGTACATTTGGGAGAACTTGAAGAGGGCATCAATGTTGATGCTGCGGTCAAACACGTTCATGGTGAAATCGGGGACTGAGATCTGATGAGACTTCTGATGAAACGCTGTCTTCTCTTAACAGATATGAACGTAAATTAAACCTCTGCTCCACTTAAAACAGTAAGAGTAAAAACTCCTCTATCATGATGACTGTAAGCCTGGAGCAGGTAGTACAAGTGCAACCATTTGTTAATGATTAGTGGAAAGAAACTGGGTATATCTTTGCAGTTTTCTCTGAATGTTTAAACAGTAACGGTGATTACTGATGCCACTAACACTTGCAGCCAAAATATTCACCAAGTGTGCCAAACCCTTCTCCTCTTTACACTCCGTTTCTAATTTTATAACACAACTTACTTCTTCACACTCAGACACAGCACCCCAGTACTTATCTCTCTGCCTACAACAAGGCAACACAGCATGCAATGTGTTATTCCGAAACCTGTAAGGATTGGGAGATTTAGCTCAATTGTGTAGGTGCACTTTTGTTTTTGAGGAGATTAAGAATGCATGTACTGAGATCAGTTTTAAAAGGTATTTTTATGCGCAGAATACCACACTTTGTTCTTCTTTTAATTAAAAACTTGAATGCAATCTTCTTGGGCCTTCATACACAAAACTACTACAACACCATAAAAGCACAAGAATGCCAACAATTGTGCACTCTTGTTTAAATGATTACATAATTTTAATATTTCTAAATAATGTGACTCACATGGGTTAATTTATCCATTATTATTTCCGTTGTGATACTGTGTTACATTTTTTATTCATAATTATGACCAGTTTATTGGATAAAGTACATTTTAGTCTCAGATTTTAATGCATTTTATCCATCCTTTCCTTATTTCATGCATTTCCCAAGTTTCACTTGATGTACATTACAGGCTACTGTAAATGTTATTTTGCAGTAACCTACATGAATGGTGCAATCAGTCTAACTGTATCTGTGGTGTATGGAGCACAGATATGCTAAAAAAGCTGAGATAGCTAAACTGCAGCACACCAGTTTCATGCTCTGTGTAGGAACTGTGTTAAAGTGCATCACACCTATCAAGTAAAATTAAATTTAAAAATGTTAAATCTGTCAAACTGTGCAGTGTATAGGACACATGACAAAAACCTGACCAGTCTCAAAACAAAGTGAGATATATGTTGTGTACAATTTCTCTTACTTTTCTTTAAAAAAAATACTTCATATATCCATATTTATATTTTCTTCTAGTAGTTTTAGTAGTTATAAGTTTAATTTGCTAAACTAAGGTTTTGTGAAGATCCTTTAAAATTAAAAAGCACCTCAGAATATTGCTTTATGTTAACATCCCCATACCCTTAAGTTCATGTGTTTTCTCTCTCTTTAGCAATGCACAATCAGTATAAGATAGCACAGCACAACATTCTTAAATTAAGCTTACCCTAACTTTTTGAACCAACAAATTAGCATTTTTAAGTATTGCCAACTTATTGATTTTAAAACTTAATATCTGGTTGCTTGCATGTAATGCACTGGTGCAAAAGCATAATTATTTCAGTTTCACAAAAGTAATTTGCTTTTTGAAAAGAGCTGTGTATCGTGGAGCTGTTGTCGGTGTCTAAAGTTGTAGAGAAACAACTCAAAGTTTCAATGAAAGTGACTGAGCAACTCAGAGTGAGGTATGTACCTTTACATTGCAGCAATTTCAACAGCTATACAAGCGTCTCACACTAAAATTTCATACATATAGTGATAACGAAATCGCCCTAACATGAATAGTAACATTAGAACAATGACAAGGGCCTTTCTACGAACCCCATACTCTTTATTTTCCAGCAAATCTAAACCTTTAATTTAGCAACTGGGAGTCTAAGCTATGAAAATAACGTGATTCTTACTTTCATTATTAACGAAATTCACACAGAAGATTAGAAGTGCGTAGTCTACTTTGATGAAGTTACACAACAGGTTAGCTTTAAATGTCAAGCTTTGTGCCATAACTAGCACACAAACATGCTAACAACCTGGTTAGTAGTCGCCATGCCTCCGATTCGGGAAGCATGGTGACTGCTTGAACTACTTATTCTTACATAAATACGAGAATAAGCCATTCGACGCGATAGCTGAGCACCAGACAGCCAAAAAGCAGACGCCTGGGAATGTATTAATAGCTAACGCTGCTAGCCAGTACCCGTCAAATAACAAGAAGCCTGGCGAGCTAACGACACAGTTCGACGTCTCCTTCTTCGGTTATTTTCAGCCCCAGTTAACACGACAAACCGGTATAAGCACAAAACGGTTGCATTTGTACCTGCATATTACTTACCTCTCTGTTACGAGCTGTTTCCTTTTCTCTGCTTTACAGTTAAGTTTTTTTTCTAAAACAAAACCGTACGTGTCAGCTCACGGCAGCCTGCTGATGTCACCATGGAAACGCCCAGAAGATTGTAGTCCAGTCACGCGCAGCTAGGTCGAAAGTACGACATATCACCGGCTATCTAATGCGATTTAATGAGCCAACTAGCTGTTTGTAATTATGAATTCTTTTTTTCAAAAACATTAAACGTTACAAGTTATTTTCTCTTCACTTTCGAATAACATTTATATTATGCTGCACTGCCTGGTGTGTCATCGAAGAATGTCACCGGTGCACCTAAAATGGCCGACACAAAATGTAACTGATATCATCAGCAAAGCGTCTTTAGTGCTGTAAAAACAACGTTTGTTTGATCACAAAATAAACGCTGTAAAGAAACCACTTAACCGTCTCAACGGTTTCTAATCAAACCGAAATAAAAAGCAGGATATAAGAGTGTAAATATAAGTTCGAACATATGACCGAGATATCAGTCATGACGAATGGTGCAACCGCATGCAACGTGAAATATTTTCACTTATGTTTTAGTCATTATACCAAAAGTAGCCTATGCAATAATAGTTTATGATGACAAAAATATAGCACTTTGTACTGTATAAGTTACTTCATTGTTAAGCTCTGCAAAAGAAAAGAAAAATGTGCAAAAAATGTGTTTCTTTATGGTTACATCTTAAATATTTATTAAATTTAATACTTGAAGTAGCTTCCACTAAACATCATTTTTGGTCAATGAAATGTTTCGACGTGTAAATTAGTTCCCAATTAAGCTTTAAATTCTTTCTTTCGCTTTATCCATTTAAGAAAAATCATAAATTAAATAGTCCAAAAAAACTGTATCATCTTTATTATGTTATTTCTTTTTAAGTATGAATTGTACGATGGTAGTTTTTTAGAACTCTAAATGAGTAAACAAATTATTCTCTGCTCTGAAATGAAGTTAAAAAAAGACAAAAAGAGTAATTTGGTTCCCAAATGTTTCCCTAAAAATAGCACCTTAGTAAAGTTGGTCATAAAAGTACTATATACTGTACAAACATGTAATTTTTCTTTCATTAGATGTAAAAGCTTAATCGAATATTTAAAGATATTTAATACACTACAGTGATTTTCTTTGTAACATGGCATAAAACACACATACGCAAAGGTAGTAAAATAGAACCAATTTTTATTTGAAAATAAAACTTATTTGAAAATAAAAATTGGTAGCACCCGGTCTTTTAGAGTTTTGGTCAGACCAGGTAGAGAAAAATTAAGTTCTGGATTTATTCTCATACAAAGACAAATTGTGACTTTAAACAAATACTTTTGGTCATCACAACTGGTTTCAATATTCTCATTGTCATGTTTCACTAGTTGACATGCAGACATAAAACATCATAGAAAAAAACCATTCAACCCCCCCAAAAAAACGCAACCTCTCAAAATCTCTGTGGTACTGAATTTCAAATGTATGTTTGCTTGAATCTCCGGTTTACATCCGATCGCAGATTTAACTGTAAGGTTTTGTATAGTTAATTCTGACAGCAAAACGTGCATGATTTAGGCACAGATAAAACAGTTAAACACAAGGCCAGCCTCAAAACAGGCAAACGGATTACAATACACAAGGTTGAGCATTATGAAGTACTGGACACAAGTTTTTGGCCAATAAATATAGAAAAAGACACGTTTAAAAAAAAAAGAAACCCAAATATATCAAATTTGATATTTTCAAGTGTTGCACTGCAAGTACCGCAGCCCCTGGCATTACACTTGCTCCTGACAGTGTTTTCTCACGCTCAGCATGACACATCAGTGTGTATGCCTACAAATCTCTGTTCAGGCAAAACACCATTCTGTCCTAATTTCAAAAGGCACAGCTTTTACTTACAGCACTGTCAATATAAAAGAAGTGCAAGTTGTTTGCCATTGAGCAATAGAAGGATATAGTAACAAATGAAATATTAAACTATGACTTAAAACTGCGGCATTTAGGAATAAACGTGTCCTATGAAAAACAAATAATAAAAATTCCAGTGTCTGTTTTTGAAAGGACCAAAAACGAGATTTCACCCCATTTATCCAACTTTATAACCAATAGTATCAAATGTCAATTTGACCACTTAGGATTTATATTGCATGTTATGTAGAAACCACTTTCATGATACAAATGGCTAAAAACACTTGTTTTGACAGCCATTTATAGTTAAATAAGGCTACAGTAATGTCTGCTTGACTGGCGACGCAAGAGGTACTGTCCATGTGATCACAGAACTGGGTTGCATAGAGGAACCGTGCTGACCGTTTAAAAATAGATTTCCTTATAAAACAGCCTATTAAAATGAAAGGTATAAAATCGTTTTTTTATTAAAAAAGGTGTTTTTGTTGTTCCATACAAGGCACAATTAACAAAAACAACGTCCAAAAGTCAAGTCAGGACAGGCAGGCTTCTGCTTTGGCAAAAGAACCCCTTTAAAATTCATACCAACTGGAGTGATTGTGATGGGAGTGCTTTGGTTGGTGTTTGCAGCTCTGTCGTGGTGCTTAAAAGTAGTGATTTGTGATTATTGTCAGCACTGTGGATCAGAGGAAAGGCCTCACTTTGTGACATACACTTTCAATTGAGCCAACAATCTTTCCCCAGGCTTAGAATTTCCTTGACCTCATACCAATGCAGTTTTCTAAACAGAAGGATTTTGTGCGCAAGCAAAGAGAACAGTCTGGAAACTTATGTCTATGTTCTGAATACACGTGGCTATTTTAGTCAACTTTAGCGCTGGCGCTCCCGTTGGAGTCGAGCAGGTCTGTTGAAAGCTAATGTCCACGAAGCTGGTCCAGCCGGGTGTAAACGTTATCAGCTTGGCTAAGATCTTCAAACACAGGAAGAAGGTTTAGCAGCTCAGCATCATCCACGTCGTCAAACCACGACACCAC